TTTAGACAAAGACAACCACGAAAAAGACCTCTCACACCCTGCAGCCTCTGCTCTATCATCCCTTCTTCATGAACCAATAAAACCTCGATCCTTTCTCCAAAAATCACCTAAACCGAATTAGGGTTTCAGAAAACAGGAACGATACGCTGACTTCGAAAGCACACAGAAAACGGAGATTACTTCAAAATCAGGATCAGAAACCTGATCTAAAAACTAGACAGAGAGCGCTAACCAACGGTATATGGATTGTCTTCTGAGTCCTTCTGGTTCGACGGGAATCCTCCCTCAAAATGGACTAATCGCAGACCCAAAACTGCACAAACCTCTCTGAGTAAAACAATGATAACTCCTAAAATACACATCCGATTGACAAACCGCTTCCTCCCATATCAAGATCAGAGAGTGCAAAACTTAATCTGAAAGTTTTTCTCCGATCCGATCTGTTCTTATTTGCCGTTACTCTCCTCTTATAAAACCAGACAGAACTACCTCCAAAGCCTCAATCACGGCTTAAGGAACAAGAACACTCAAGTATCTCTTTCTCTTCTCTCTAGAACTCTCTGGAAACCCAAAACCACTAAAAAGTTCTGGAAAACGATGCCCCCCTCCTTTTATAATGAAGCCCTAGGGTTTTCTCTTAACCCAGACTGCCAAACCTGCGATTAAATCGAACCAACCGGTTCAAATCAACCTTGTGTCGATCGACGAACGATGTTCGATCGACGCACGACCAAAATTCATAAAAACTTGGATCGCGGTCATTACAATAGCAGCCAAATTCCACACTTTTAAATTTGTAATTGCTCATAGATTTATTTCTGAGATATTCTTAAATTTTAGATAGGCAAATTTGTGGAGATAACGATTTTCATAATCTTTTAAACGTCATATTAATCTTGTGTAGATTTTACTAAAGATTGTCATACTTTTAACTTTGGAGTTGATGATACATAAATTTATTATATTTGGACCGAAACGAAATGTAATTGATTTATTTAATTGATCTTTTTGGTTGAATAGACTTTTTGGAAATAAAGTAAGATCTATTAAAATCTAAAACGAAATTATTTTTAAAAGTAACAATAACTAAAATCTCTAATCAAATAATCGAAAGAAAGCATGTAAAATAATTTTCTATTCCATGAGATTATTTTTTTATAATCACTTCTTAAGTTCATCAATGGAGCCATCATTAGATTGGGC